GAATTCAAACAAGATTATACAATGAAGTAGTAAAGAATACATGTACATTGATAGAATACAATATGATGAAGAAGTTAAAGATAAATGTATCTCGTTTATGTGTCATTTTCAATCGACATTTTCAACCAGGTACCCTGCGCAGAGTCTAGTTATAAATGGAGCTCTCTTTTAAGAAGCGAAGTCAAACAAATGCAAAGGGTACAACCAGGAAGGTTGTCTTGAATTCCATGTAAAATAATAAGAGAAGCTTTGTTGCAAAACCTTTTGAACGCCCCTAAAACTATGGTGGGTATTGGTGGTGGGTAACAATATTCAATCATAAAGGATACAGGTGTAGAGATGCCAAAATCCAAATCCATTTGGATCCTACACATCCCTACATCTTATCCAAATATGTTATTAATTAATGAAACATAACGGTATACTCATGTCTCTTTTGATTTACAAAGTTGTATGGCATTTCATAAGTGTAAAGGTTGCTTTTGATGCCGTTGTCTATAGCCATTTTGTAGGAAAAATGATGAAAATGTATAATCTTTTTAATTTGAAGTATGACCTGAATCGATGGCCTCCATTAGAATTTGATGATATCCACATGTTAAGTCAATGGAGCACATCCAATGTCAAGTCAATACACCCTTGCTGAACTTAATGACCTCAACCTCAGCCCATGTGGGTCCAAACGCTTCACTATTTTCCAGAGTATTTTGTGACATTGTATTCTTCATGTTCTAAAATGATTCATTTTGTTCATGGGGATTCATAATGGAGAGTGCACTAGATTTTTTGCCATTGACCCATTTCCAAGCAACCCCCTATAGTAACATATATCATAATATACGTGACAGAAAACCTGGATTAGTAATGACACCCGTCTCAAATTAGACAAACGGTGATGCATACACAAACAATAATCGTTCCGGCGGCTAGAGGTTCCCAGAGAGAACAGGTTCATTGACACTAAGTGTACCTGGTGCAAATATCATCGTCCGTGAAGTATGACGGTATTTTTAATGAAGGCAACTTTCGGCAAGGAGAATGAGTTGCGGCAACCCCCTAAGACCCCATAGTAACGGTCATGGTTTGCCTATGGGATAATATTATAGTTGTAATCTTTTCAATATCTTCCTATGAAAGTATCGATCATTCTATAAAGCATCATTCTACAACAGCGAAAGATATTGTATCTGGTTCTAGTAATATAACGGCATTATGTCTGTTATAGCTTCATATTATGTGAGATACTAGCTTCACTACTGTAACAGTTGCAATAACAAGTACCTTGCATTTGTGAGCTGTAATTCTATCTTGTAAAACGTACCCCTTTTGATTATAATGAAGTATGGAGGGTTCTCACTAGGCTAGAACCAGAGTCTAATGTCTTTAGACCCTCCTGCTTCAGAGTCTAATAGCTTTTCCGGAGTCTATTTTTACATTTTTGTCACATTATTTTTGTTGGTAAAACCCTTGAGAAAATATACATAAAACTATTTACAAACAAGAAATAGGAAGTGAGAAACCATTTTGAAATGTATATTGTGATTAAAATAGGAAGATAATCTTAAAACGTATTTTGAAAAGTATACTAATTATGATATCTTTGATTTCACACGGAGGAGGAGGAGTAGTCACGATACCGCGAAAAGTCCGGAATCTGTTTAAGAATTTCCTGGTGGGATCCTTGAGTATGTGTGGATATTATTGTTTGTTTCTGTTAAGGACGTCATCTACCCCCTCGGGATTCAGTATGCAATATATGCCTTAGAATATGAACAACATAATGATGACACGTTGTATTGTGACATGGTTGATTGAATACTATATTCAAGTTTCATGAATTTGATTGTTTGAATGAATTCTTTAATATGCAGTTGTCATGCTTCAAGTCTTTGAATCAACCTTATTGTTGAGTGATAATTTCATATGTACAGAGTGTCTCGAAATATACTTTACCAGGTACAAAAGATGAATTAACTCTGACTAGTGAAGGACAATAGAGGAGTTTCTAAATAGCTTTGAAATCTCGCTTTTTATGAGATTTTAAGAGATTTGCACTTTTACTACGAATGACTTACTTTTGTTTATTTTTGATAGCATATTTGAATTCAGTGACAAATGTTCTCCAATAATAGCTTTGATTTACACAGTTGTCATTTAAATCATTTTCCATAACATTTAAAAAAACATGGGCCAAATCTCCACTGGTGCAATGCTAAAATTCATTAAAACCTTGGCTTGTTTGTATGGCAACCGACATATTCATGTTTAATCACAATATGTACATTGACAAGGTCATCCAATAGTATGTCATTTGAGTTTCAGACAGATTCAACTAACACTTTTTGATAAATCATGAAATTTGGTGATCTGACAAAAATTACACATTTCATTAAGTAATTTCATTCAGTTTTAGCGAGTACCTGTTTTAGTACCATTATCTAGTTTTATACGTTTGGAATTGGATTCAATTGGGAGATCTTTTTGAGTGTTCTAACTAAATAATAAATCTCTCAGTCAGTAGCTTACATATTTCATGATATTTTAACTGACAATTGGCAAATTAATTTACTTTATAATGTGCAAACTTTTTGATGTGGTAAAAAGAGTAATTTATTTGGGTACAGTGTTTTCGGACACCCTGTATATTAGAAGAAATCAGCAGTACCAACATAGACTGTATTCAGCTGAACAATATATTCACAAACTTACTGTGAGACAATGACCAGCTTCCAGGACTATTTTGAACAAACTCCTAACACTTTATCTTGTGTAAACCTCACGTGTATCATGATTCAGGATATGACCATGGACTCGAAGGTTTGGCAACAGGTTAAGACTTAATGCTTACCTTGTGGGGATATAAGGAGCTCATTTGGCACTTGTTTTCTTATGTGTTAATTTAATGTGTTAATGTGTTGAAAAACAATAGATAAAATGACTTGGTATTATTCACCGATCATTAGTATTCTTATAATTATACAGGGTGAGCTCAAAATGTAACCCAAACAAATGTCTTCCAACATGGTTTGAATTCATATTTGGCACAATTAAACCTTATGCAATGTTCTTTCATTCTACTAAGTTTCATTGGTCTACTCTGTATGGTCACAATTGAATGGTCATTTTAAAAATGCTCCAAATGCGGAAAAATCACCCAATAGGAATCCCCAAACTTTTATATTTGGAGCCATTTCCAAAGATATTGTCCTCATTTACAACTCCAGATGTATGGGCATAGTGAGAGAGGGTTCGTAGGCGTCATGCAAACTCCCATTCGCCTTGAATTATTTTCTTTATAAAACACCCGACCAGTAACAACCCCTTTTCTGAAAGATCAACACACCAAAGGCCTGGAACGAACCGCACTCAGTAGTAATTTGATTGGTTTGTTGAAACCGTTTCTGTCTTGCGAACACCCCAACCACTTCGCCTTGAACCCCCTCTTCGATATAAACCGAACCATAGGCTTGGGGAAACTTGAACACCCCTTGGTAAATCACGGCTACTCCCTTGGAGAGACATCAGAGAGTTGAAACAACAGATAAGAAGGATGATTAGAGCCTTTACACATGATATTTGTTGGCATCTAGTCACCTGGTGTGTTCAAATTGGCCTCAAGAGATGAGACTGGCATTTTGAGGATGTTTTGTAAAATAACCTTGAAATCGTGGTCATTTGAGATAGACCAACGAAACTTGATGGAATGAAAAAACATTGAACAATGTTCAAATGTGCCTTTAAACCCATGCTGGATGACTTAGTTATCCACATTTGTTTAGGTTACATTTTTTGGCTCACCCTGGACATGGACAATTATTGATGTTACAATCATCTTTTGAACATTTAGTTTGAAGCCTTTATGCAAGTTGACAAAAATCACAAATGAAACTGGCGGCCATATTGAATTTTTAGAAAACGAAATGCAACGTGCGACTGTCGGCTGCAGGATCAACCTACTATTTTATGAACTCATGTAAATATGAATCGAATAGTAGCAGGTGCTATTCATATTTAAATGAGATGTCCATTATAGCAGGTTAATCCGGTAGCCGACAGTCGAAAGTTGCATTCGCAAATACAAGCTTAGCCTACTGCCACTGGGGTTTTATGAGAGAGCCATAAGTGCTAATTAACTGTAGTTCATTTCAAGTTGATCATCCGCATGGTCTATAGTTCGGCTTAGGTAACCAAGTGAACATGATAGCAATGAAAAGAATTTGTAAAGTCTATTTGAGCTTCAATTAAATAAAAATATAGAGTAAACATTCTAAGCTTTGACTCCATTTCTCTAATAAAATATTGAATATCAAATCAATTTAGCAAATAAAGGTGGAAATTGTTTTCACTGACATAATGTTGGGCATTTCCAAGTTCAATTAATGCATCGAGCTGTCGAAACGGAAGTCGTGGTGCTTTTTCTGTAAGACTAGTACTGCCATTGCTGATAATCCGATATTGTAAGAAAAGGTTGACTTGAGCTATGTTGATTTTGATGTAACTCAAATAATAACCCGATGAGTCGATTTTAATTATCAATTTTAATTGTTAATAAGTCAAAGGCGCCGTTGTGATTACCTGCATGTACTCAGTAGATAAGTGGCTTGCTTCGATTCAACGAATGTTGTCATATTTCCGATTAAGGTTGATCAGACCGGGTTAAGATTTTATGTTTTTCTCTATAATATAGAAATCCCCATTTTATTTTTTATCTCACAGAACGAGTGTTCTCACATGGTACTCTTTCATATTGGAGGGGGTCCATAGGTCAAAGTTGGTATTGGGTCACATCGTATCCATGTGCTAGATCCACATAGGCTTATTGGACCATAAAGGAATCCAACTTACTGTTGTTCGCCATTTTGGATATCATGTGATAGATCCATATGAGGCGTGTTGGACCGTATGTGGGGAAAGTTAGGGGAAGCCACTGTTACCAAGTAACACCAAATAGTGGAAGCTACTCACTTCTATACGAATTACAAGCATGAAATGTTACTTACTTAAAACGGCTCCCATCGTCTTTACCATAAAATGGTACGGAGTATGTCACTAGCCAGGATTTACTGTCACAGCTGTAGAATGGGAATGTCCACAGCCCATCGTTCTTATTGGCCAATATAACGTCGTATTTGGTAGGATTTGGAGAATCAACTCTTTGGTCTCGAAATGTCTTCCGTTCGTTATGGGAAAGAACTTGGTCATTGGTATTTGCGTCCTTGACCCTCCAGAACCAGGATGTATGTGGCGTTCGATTCGTGTAGTCGAGACTATCACCTAAGTCCCCAACGTTGAGGTCAGGAGACGATGATTCTCCATTGTTGATTTTGGTAACGAATGGACAGAAGGGTTTATTAGTATATCTGAATTGGTTTTTATCGAATGCTATTCTTGCCCCGAATATAGAAGGCTCATCGTTGACCATGGCTTTGACAAGGGAATAATAATATATTTTATTATACAGAAAATTTCTCCAGTCACTATGGTCCCAACTCCGTGTGCCTTGTGTAGTTTGTAATAAATTACTAATAACATTGGCAGTTTTTATGGCCCTATCAACTTGGTAGCGGAACTGTTGTAATGACGCATTGAGATCTGAAAAACCGTTCTCACTAATATTGAACTGTGATATTGAAATGCTTTTGCATTTCTTTCCCGCTTGGAGTTTGTGTTTTTGGCGAATGTATTCCAGTGCGACAGCCGCCCTGTCCAATGGCTTGCGGGAAGCGAGTAACGGGAGCGTTGCCTGGATGTCGGTGATGTTTATCACGCTTATTCCAGTATTTCTGTCAACCACGTTAATACGGTATGAACTATCAGGAGTTCTCTTGTGAAGAGGCCGTATGGAGTTGGCATCTCCATTAGTGAACCCCATCCAAGTATTTATGATAATATTGAAAAGAAAAAATACCAAATTGTCCAATATATTCATTTTGGATTACTACCTATAGGCGGTTAGAATCAATAGATATAGCCAGTAGCTCCGTGCAAACTGCAATTATGTCTGCCGTTAATCATAGACCTCATATCATTCTATGCGCAGCCAATACATCACGACATAGCGTTCGTTTCACCTCTGAATACACCATTTACTTTACTGCTGTCTACCCGAGTTCGATGGAATTCAAAGTTCACAATCCCAATCTCTATGGAAAGTTCGAATAAGAACTGATGGCTGAACGCAAATACTTCTTCGGCGTCCTTTAATTCCGCTACTTAAGATCCTGTATGTATACGATAGGAAGATGTAAATATATCCTCCCGTGTAAGTTTATATTCTATAAACAAGAGTTGCAGTAGAGGTTCGCCCTCTCCTGCAGTCGCTATATATAACTCTTGAATCGGTGGATCCAGCTAACGATGGGTGCTGAAGGCTTTTAATCCATCTGATCAGTTTCTATATAACGGAATAGTCAAACACTGATAACCTCATTGCAATTCGCTTTCTGTACTATCCGAATAAGAATCTACTGGGTTATGGTAGATTGAATTCCCGGGTGCCCATAGCTATTTATCGAGCTCTATCCCTCTGTGATATGTTCAGTTTAGAGGGATATTGACACTTTGCTTTAACAAACATGCACCCATGTCGTTTGATAACGTTTACTTATCGAATCCATGTGTCTCTACTTTTCTGTTTTGTTCAAACTGATTGATTCAGGAATCTTGGATGCCCCGGGTTGATGTTGAAGCTGTTTCTATCGTAGCCTTTGTATCTCGATTCATTGGATTTTCAGTTGTTTCTCATGTTCTCTTGTACTTAACGGACCTAGATAAATGACCTTATAGTATACTAAATGATGCGATAACTACAAACGTTATATCGGTTATATCGTTTTTGCAAAACTATACACATCCATCTAGGTTCTAAGACGATCATTAATAATTCCGCTATGATTGAATACTTACGCACGATCGCGATTCGAATCACAAAAATACTGTTCGAGTATTTGTATATAGTTTATGATTTCCAAAGTAGTAGTAGCAGGGTGAAACACTAATGGCAGCGCATAACGCCAATTTACCAAATCGATTCACGCATCCCTGTAATAAGAATGCTGCTTATTTGAGAGCTGCCATACAAAATAATAAGGTCAGTTTTATCTTATTTAATCAGATGGAAACCGAAACGGTGATAGTAAACAATTCATAAATCCATTTCCTATAAATGATAAACCTCCACAATTGCTGATAAGAGATTACGGGGCCTTGGTTAAGAACTGTTCTTAGCCTAGTTACCTTGGCCTAACTTTTTCTTGTTACTTTGATTTCAGATCAAGGGTCGGTAGGGCTTCTGCCAAGGGGCATACTCCGCTATATGTTTTTGATGTAGGCATCAAGTGGAGCATACTCTGCCGTTTTCCCCCTTCCAGAGCTGTCCCATTATGCGGAGCTCAGGATCGATAATCAATTTTTATCAACATCACAGGGAACGCTGTCTCATAATATACGTGATGGTACGATGTGGAAATACTTAGCGAGGCGACCGCAATCCAATGTTCACATCCATTGCTTCGTTGTGTTATTTGTAAGATACAGCTATCGATTGTCTCAAGCTTATTGCATCGTTTGAATCCTCAATTGTATTTTCTCGTATGGATATCCCCTGTAAATAAAGAATATCATATTACCAGTGTTATTGTTGTTGCAGGCCTTAATGTTGTGTCAGTGGAAAGACTTGTTTCACTAGACAGGTCACGATCAATTTATCAGCAACCATCTCAGTAAGGAAGCAAGCAGAAACGAGAAAAGCAATAAGAAAACTATCTATGATTACAGTTTAAATTATATTTGAATGCATCTTGCAACGGTAGCTATTCAACCAGAGATCATAGAGAATGGAAATGACAAGAGAAATGACCGCGAAATGCATTGCCGGTTAATATTACTTGACAGCCTGTTTTCATTATGACGTCATCATTATTAATCGGGTGGTAAGAGTATTATATGTATGTCATTTTCATTATCATTTTCTTATTAGGAATGACTAACAATAAGGCCTATCATACCTCTCAACTCGGTTGACTGTCAACCTCGGGAAATGTCAATAATCGCAACTTTACCTCATGTCATATTGAGTCTCTCTATTAATAAGTTCATTTTGTCACAATGTACTCCCACGCTGTCTTGCGATTGACTTAAGTACATTAATCAATTAGTTATGTTTCCAATAAATATAAATCATATACGAGGGGTGGTCCACAATTAACAACATTTTATAGAAATACTTTTGAATACTCCTCGGATTAAGCCCCTTTTCGCAAAACCGTATTTCTGAATTACAGGGCATTTAATATACAAAACTTGCAATTATTTCTGCCTCATTTTCCTTATATTAACCTATTGGGTTGAATACCATACTTAAAACCTTTTTAATAAGGTTGTCTTAAAAACTACATCTTTTCCTTACATAATTTTGGAAATGGAAATCCAACGCTACAACTTTTAAGAATATTAGCGCTTATTTTTTTGTAAACACCTTAATGTATAATATCAAATATATGTAAAATTGAATGGTTCTCTAATTCAATGGTTTTAGCGTATGAATAACATCCATGTTCTTTCATTCTGGAATTTCATTGTGGAATTCAGTACTATAGAATGTAAAGCTGTTTATCGGATTTGATAAATCTTTTTATTAACTTCAACAATAATATGAGATTTGGAGTTCCACTTTTTTGAATTTTACGAATACTATTGTTAATACTACAATAACGTCATTTTGAAGGGCAATATAGTGAAATATTGTACCACCGTTAATGTCCAGGGCTGAAATAACAAGAAAATCTTAGGCATTGAACGATATCTAATTTCCCGGGGAAAATTGCCAGGCGTTAATATTATTGACTGGCAATCTGGCCCGCCACTATGACGTCACATACTGCTCAGGTCGATATATAAAATAAATGCCTTCTAAACTAGCACTATTACCCCTAGAACAGGCCTGGTAACGTGGTTATACTGATTTGTAATTAATGAAGTCATTATCCTTACACCAGAAGCTTTACACCAATGAAACAAATAAAAGAGAATATCTTGGGTGATTTCTTATTCATTAGAATTAGTGCAACGTATTTAAAGTATGACTTAAACAACCCAGCTGATTGGTATAGGAAAAAAATATTTGTGAATTAAGAAAATTAATGACGTGAAGAACATTATATTGCCCGTACGCGTGCAGTGGTTCACACGTCTGAGTGACTAAACATGGGATTATATATTAATATTTATATGCTTGCACCAGGATGTAAACTATTAAAATCTTTGAGTCATTTATCAATAGCTCTAGGAGTACAATATGTGTTTTTTAATGGCCACCAAGAACTTGCAATAATTTAAGAAGCATTGCTCAGAATAATTTAATCAGATGAACATGTAATGAATCTCGACATATTCTTTGCAATATATGTTACCATGACGACAAATTAGGAGACGCAGGCATGTAACGAGTACTAATTAAGTGAAGGAGTTATGAGCTAGGACCCCGATGATTGACTTGAATCCCCATAGATTTTGGACAATATATTTTACAGTGGCAATGAGAAATACGACTTGAAACACTTCTAACATTTGTTTTGTACTGATCATTTGAGAATCCAGGTCAGATTGACTTGGAAGTCCACACAGTGATTACCCATTATCGTATAATACACAGCTTTAGATTTAAGGCTAACAGAGATTTTCATAACAACAAATTAAGGAGCTGATACACGTACATACCGTTTTACCTCATCAGCTAAAGAATTGAGTGTCGAGATATATCATAGAGTGGTATGCATGGCATTATCATTGTCGTATATTGGCTTATATAGTACATTGACATACTTACTCGAGAAATTATTTGCATCAATTTGATTTGTACAATGAGTTCTTTTTGTTTGTCACTTTTTTTGTCCAGAAATAGAGGTTCTTTATATGAGTACCTGTGCAAGATCGTCCATTCTTGACGAGCTTTGATAATTCTTCTTTATCGAGTCGAAGACGATTTTCAAAGCGAGTCAAGAATGGACGATATTGCTCAGGTACGAGTACAAGAAAGTTTTTCTCAAATGACTCTGCATTATGCCATATTTTCACCATTTTATCATAAATCTGAGTTAAAAAAAGCTTCAAATTAATTAAACTTCATGTTGCAATTGTTATGACGTCATAACAATATTGAAGAAAATGTATAGATACACGTGGCAACAAAGCTCCATTATGACGTCACAGCTTAGTTTTGTAGAATTAGCATGGATACTCATAGCAACGGTGTGTCCGTTGCCATGTTGATGTTTATAGACCAGTGATGTCACAAGTAAATCTCATCTTGCACGTGTGACTTTTTAGGATAAAAGATGGCAATATCTTGCATGGGGTAAAGATGGATGTATCTTTGTTAGTCATATGAGAACGTGAATGCCTCAATTCCTTAACGCATGTGTGCGTTTATCTGGGGGTGGAAACGCTTAGAGTATTTTCGTAGAGTACGCAGGTAGTTGTAGTTTTATTTAGTAGTATGTGAACGTTTTATAGTATTTCCTCACCTGCAAACGCGCCCATCACGGTTACAGCCACCCATCTAGTTTTTCTCCAATGTTGGCTCAAATAAAGAAATATTTTGATTTTGAACAAAAATCCGTGGTTATCCCAAAATTATTAAAAAACTACAGTGTCATTTGTGACAATTGAATGTTTCCCCTATCGATGTCTTGGGAATGTGATGAACTCATTGGCAGGACGAGGTGAGGGGTACATTCATCGATGTCAATCGAAAACTACACCTACCTAATATTTGAATAAAGATGGCGGGTTTTATGCATTTTCTGTGTACTCTACGAAAATACTCTACTCGTTTCCACTCCCTGTGTAAGCATGCAATGGAGAAACGATATGTCCCTAGATGGTGCATGTTATTCCGACATGCTGTAAACTGCTGACATTTTTGATTTTCTCTCTATTTTTGACAGAAATACATGTAAGACTAAGAGATTTGTTTTATTCTTCCAAGTTGAACTTGTAAAGTATGATTGCCTTCATTTACAAATTGTTTTAAGGAGCAGGACAAAACTAAAACTGATCAATTTATACACAAACCATTATAAACACAACACGATGGCAATAGTTTGAAATATCAATAAACCTCGTTGATACGCATCTCCGCATTGTATTTTAATTACTGCACAACCCAATCGATTTCATGAAATTAAACCCGTTTCGTCTATGTTAAGAAAATGAACGAGTTCGCAAGAACAGCTATGTCAAACACAACCACAGGCGAGCGTACTTGATGTTATTACATGGTTGAGATGGCTTAATATTTAGCAATATATTGATTCGTTCAGCACGTGGCTATAATTAATCCCCATGTTCTTAGATACTGAATGCATTCATTAATTATGAGGCTTGTGTATTGCAGGACCAAGCGATGATTGTATTTGTGTAATTTACAAGGGATTTCTATAGTTGTTATCGACAGCCCCGTATGTGATGCCTCTGGTAATATTTAACAAGTATGCACATATCATCTTAGCTATGAGAAGAATCCATTTTACCTACCCCAAATCCCTGATTGTTAGTTCCATTCAATCGAATGTATCCCTGCTTCTATTTGCTGCCTATCATATAATCCTTTATGATACACTCAAGCCTATGTTAGTAGTAGCGATAAGTGGGTTTCTGACTCTCCATGTTTGCCCTTCGCCTGACCACTCGTTTCGCCATACAATCATCCATATCGATTTGAAAATCACTGGCGTAATGTTAATCAGTGAATATGTATTACTGTAAAGTAGTAGATGTATGCTGCGCTATGGAGCAACAGCGACAATAAACATATTATGATGAGTGCGTCAAAACGAGGCTATATCCCGTTTTTTCGATTACATACCGGATCGTAAGATGTCATTGCAGTGCATGCATTTTATTGCCTATCTTCCCAAGCTTTACTATGCATCTGTTCTGTTTTGTTACCATATGCTGGTACCGTTTACTAGTTATGATTGTAGTTCTGAAATAGTTCAACCAATAAATAGCATATTGTTATCCTCCCAGGGTTACCGTATTCCCAAATGATTTTTATTGTTATACAGTGAAATAGCGATCATCTATCCGATGACGTCAGTATTTGCAATTATCAGAACATAATTAAAGTTTTTTTTAACTGTGAACAACATGCTACATACCATATTTACCATATCATTAAAATATGATAAAAATTAAGCTGCGATCTGTTCAGAATATCCAAATACCAATGAGCAAAGGGTGCTAAAATGTGAAGGTGAAATACATGACGTAATTAACCCAAAGGTTCCATTACACAATTGGAAAGGCTAGCGTGTTAACATAATACGCATTTAAATGTTTCCATTTTGTAAGATATACAGATTAGATTATGTAAGGTATTGATCTACTCTTCCGCATCTTATATTTGTTAATTAACACATGTGGTGTTTGAATAACTTAAAGATCCAACTAAATTGATTTACAAAATTTTGCAATTTACATTTATCTGCGCGTACGGCATTTAACTCGCTGCTTTGTTTAATATTCCTCTTGCATTGATGAGTTAGGAAAAATGTCAACGAGAGCGATGAAAGACGCTCTGTGAATATAAGCATTGTTGTAAAGGATACCTGCATTTTGGACATAATCCTGTAATGTTTCGTTATACATTCGCATTGGTAACTAAGTACGTCGGAGGGCCACCTGAGAGTCAAATTATATTATTGACTCTTTTCTCTTTTTATCTATGCTCATTTTGGCATTTTTATTATGTAATTGTATATGTATATTTTTATTCGAGAAGCAAGTAAAATGCACGTGCTCTTCCTGTATCAGTTACAGTTATCTGTGTTAAGTACATGCACATAGTGGTGATATTTATTTTTAAAGATTTATTTCAATTTCTCGTCCTACGATAATAGTTGGACCTGGTTGAACTATAATTTTAGATGCCTTTGCAAGTCATGGTCTTAAATAAAATTTATATTTTCCTGGATCTGATGCAATGAGTACATACCTGGAAATATAATAATTTGCATTAAATATAATGCATGTATCGATTGTTTCAAGATTTCAAAGTTACTGGAATGAAAGACGAAATGTTCAGACGTTGCTATACTATTTAACTTTCATGCATTAAATAGAATACGATGGTACGGTTGCGTTAGCAGTCAACGTGTGATCCCAAAATGTGATCGCGTTTCGATGAACCTATTTTTGGGTAAATTGAAAATCTACGTACCGTTTTGAATAAGCAAGTGTGTTAGAGGGATAAGATAGGACACATCCTGAGGTATAACATTGATATCCGGGCTAAGAGAATGTAGTGACAGGGGAAAGATACTGATTATGAAATATCTAAATGGACTTTACATTCTTAATATATCCTTTACATACATTTCGTACAATTTAAGATTAGTAAGAAATGCAGAGTATTATTCCTAAGCTTATGGAGAATTGTCTTATGACATCCCCAATACATTCATTCGCCATTCCGCTCTACAAATGATCATCACTGGCATCTATACATGACTAATAGAGTGAAAAGCTTCATACCATACTATGAGAGAATCACACTAATTAAATTCACTGTCTTTATGCGCTTGCCATCTACGAAGACTACGATATTAATATAATATTACGAGAGTCGATATATTCCCCATAGCATGCTGTAAAAAGTCTCCCTTAGTATATTTTATTCAACTCCTCGATTCCACAATCTGAACCAAGGGATTTGTTTAGATTAGCTGTGCATAAGTTTTTCTACAAATGACTGCTTATGCAAATTATCGATCATGAAGTGTCTAGAAATATTCAAGGGTCATATAGAGTAAATGATACATGCAAGTTAATTTGCATTAAATTGTTTCGTCTCTCAACTTAGGAGTCTCCTGTCTCTCGTATTAGCTGTTAGTGCGATGCTACAATAAGTGTGTTTATTGTGAAACTTGATCGATGATAGTGTCGAGGGGATAGTAGCATCGGAATTGCCAAGTATGGCATCTAGTCCCATACAAAGACCACAGACATACAATTCAAAATTGTATACAAACTAAAACTGGCATTAATCTACGCCTTCACAAAATGATAGTGGGTTTTTCGGCTTATATGCGGTACTCTGTGTTGAGCATTAACTGCATTTCCACGAAAGTGGTATTGGATTCTTGTACAGTATAGAGATGCATGTATTGTATGTTTAGTTTATTGTTCTAATGTGCAGTACCTTTAATTTCCGAGTGTGCAACCATTGTCAAAAGACAAGGTCGAGTTCAATCCACAATATCACTTTGCTTATTTTTACGTCATTAATTCTGAATATGCAGGATTGTTTTACGATGTTATATAAAAATCGCCTCCTGGAAACATAAACTTGACAAGGGTGCATCATGGGAATCGCACACTCAAACCAGACAATATGCGAGTTAATCCAATATGCCATCGTACAAATTTGAACTGATATATTTCTCAATCCAAGATTTCAGAAAATCAACCATATTTAACCTGCTAAAACACATGTCATCAAAATCAAAAAACTGTTCTCATTCAAAGCTTATTAGAGATTGGCGCATGAATCTGGTCAAACGGTAATGTCACAATCTTTCAATATCCATCATGCTAATTTTAAATGATGGCTTTCATCATATTCCATACCTTATTTATCATCAATTAATTCAACAAGTACTTTCAAGAACTATATCTCAATTTTAAACAAGCATATTTTGCCCTCCCTCCCCAAGAGCAGAGGGGAATACGATTGTGTACTTAGGTCATCTGCATTCACGAGGTGCAATGTCGTTACAGGAAGGGATAGGGCTTAATGAATCTATTATGTAAATGGTCGACGTATTACTTTCCTTTCTGTGTTAATCAACACTCTGTTATTCAAGCGAATGGTCATTTGGATTTGAAAAATTCATTCTGCAAAAGTCGATACAAAGTGGCGTCCTGAATAGTACTTGAGAATCAGGAACTGACGCAGGGATGGTACCTTTAAATCAGTATTCATTTCCTGAAAGGAATTCCTACAAGTCGCTTTTAACAGACAAGTCGACATAGGACAAAAAGTCGCGATGCATCATTGGAAAGGTGGACGTGTTATTTGCTATGAAACTAATTTATTTCCCGATGATGCAATATGGTCCAATGTCCAGGTCAAATATGGTCTCGCTCATCTTTTGTTTGTGACCGTTGTATTTTCTTATAATTCTGCACGCAGTGAGGGCAAGTATCGGTCATATAGCTGGCTCGTAATAATTCTTATAATCGACAGTACATCCGTGAATTGACGGTTGCTCAGTGTAAAAAACAAACAAATTAATTTCACTCCCTTATGGGTTTTATCCTTTCATGAGTATGTCTGCGTTACAGACCGTTCGATAATTGTAAATATTATTCCCCAGGCCCGCAGACACTTTGTGCCTGACCACTGCTAATAACATTTACACATTTAGAGAGAGAAATATGTTTCAAGGTGACACTGATATTTCCATTAAAATAATGGTTTTTGTGCATTACTTGTATACTCTGGAGACCTCAAAATTAGAACTACAAAACATTAATTGTCAAGTATATGAAAATTTGTTGAATAATTGTTGGATTTACACTAGCTTCTTCCTGCTCTCTTTCATGCTTTTAACAATGCTGTCTTTAGGACATTATTTTTCTGAAACCGATGCATTCTTTGTCAAAGTATAGAAGCGGGGAAAGGAATCTTACCCCCCTATCACACCAAACTAGTTCTTACCCGTTCTTGCCAGTCCTACGAAAACGTTGTAAAACGGGCTCAATCTGGCTGTAAATATGTCTAAAATAATTAGCTACTTCGTTCTTAAACAGTCTTCAATACGTCCATCTCGTTGGCAGTTCGTTCAGGTCGCACCACGTCGGTGTGCAACGTCGTAGAACGCGTCCCTTAGTCTAGAAGGTCAACATGACTTGATTACAGAACGGTATGGTCGCCATCGAATTTTGAATCGATTCAAAATTCTAAAATCACATTCCCGTCTGAGAACGTTCATAAAGTTCGTAAATAGACCTTAGAAAGTTGCAGCTACGTTCATTCCATTCGCACACAGTTTAAAACCAGTTTTGAAGAACGCAGTGGCAACTTGTTTGGTGTGATAGCTATATTTTTGCTAACTCGTTCATAAGCAGTGTTAAATACGTTCTTAATCAGTTTAAACCCGTTTGTAATTAGTTCTACCTCGTTCTCAACACGTCCTCAGACAGTTCAACTCGTTGTTAAAACGTCCCTAGTAGGATTGAAGTACGACGGTTCCGTTCGTAGTACGTCCAGCTCGTCGTTAGTACGTTGTCACTCGTTCTAATTGTAGAACGTGATGACCACGAGAACATTTTGAGCATTGTCTAAGTTCTAGAGGACCTACCCGTTCGAGTACGTTCGATGAAGTTTGTAAATAGATCCCAAACGGTTCTTAGTAGGTCCAGTGCGTTCGTACACAGTTGAAGCCCGTTTTCGAGAACGTAGTGAGAACTAGTTTGGTGTGATAGTAGGGTAATCTGCGATAACGTAAGCAGTGACCAAATTGACTCGGCGCATTTTTATGTTAGACAGTAGATATATACAGCTTAAACGTTTGACCACATTATTGAATAAATGTATCCATGGCAACAGAAAAATCGTAACACCACGTGCACATTTGAATCGAATATGTTGCACTTATATATATAGGGTGTCTCAAAAAATGTACCCAAAAGTATATCAACGCCATAGACAAACCAATCAATATTTTCAGACATTTTTGCCA